TGATGCGAGAACCAGCCACTGGGAAAGCGGGTTCCAGCTTTGCTTTGGTGGCTTCTACAGATGCCAAATCACGTCGAGATGCCGTGGACATTTACGATGCCACAAACAAGCTTGTAGCATTTCACCTGCTTTTGTCACCTGGGCATCGAGCAGTCAGAGCGGCTGGCGTATCGACTTCACCACAACGCTTGTCGGACGGAACCTTGCGAAGCGGCAGATCATCTGCCATTCTGTTTACCTCTGGTGGATCACTTGTCACCTTGACGGAAAAGGGCACTACTGAGAAGGTCAATCTTTTGGTTCAAAAGAACCTATACTCGGCAGCTGTTTTTGTGGCGTATGGTGATCCATCGTTTGAAACTGCCGACATTACATCACTTTACCGCAGGCATGCTGAATATCTTTACCGCAAGGGAGATTACAGTGGTGCCATTGATCAATACATTCATACGATAGGTTCCCTTGAACCTTCTCATGTTATTTTCCGGTATTTGGATGCTCCCAAGATTCCTCTATTGGTGAAGGTAAGGTCGAAAACAAATGGAAGGAATCTCAGTATTCTTTTGCTACGTGCTCGAATCTAACGTCAGCGTACATCTACAGTATCTTGAAGAACTCCGATCCAGAGAGTTGACAACACCGGTGCATAATGAATTGCTCCGAACATGTTATTTGAAACTAAACGATGATGAGAGTGCAGAGTCGATTGCGGCCTTGGCCCACCGATCGGTTGATACAGAATCTCTTTCGTCCATCGTTACAAACTCGCCGAAGGATGGCCTTGCATTGATTTGCTCGTTCGACGCACCCCAAGCAGCAGAGTCGCTGGCGATACACGGAGCTTCGCTTGCACGACTAATGCCAAGGGAGACTGCTGGATTGGTGGTGTCACTGTGCCTTGGCACCTTTTCACCAGCAAAGTTCTCGGAATCATCATCGGCAATCGTTGCCGATTGTAAGAAAATGCTAGAATATGCGTTTGATGAAAGTTCACGCAATTGCGAACCATACCCAGTGCACATATTTGCCTCTTCCTTCATGGAGAACCCAAAGACTCTTCGATTGATTCTCGCACATTGTAACCGAAACAAGTGTATCTTGACGCCATCATTGAGGCGCACACTGCTGGAATTGACGCTTGCAGAATGGAATCAAGCAAAACGAAACGGAGATACGGAAGCTGAAAAAATGCGAAGAAAGGAAGCAATTGCTGTAAGTGGCTGGCCTTATAGAAAGATTGTGATCCAAAACGGAAATTTCCTCACGATCCTTTTGTTGCATACAGGCTCTGACGGATTCTCATAGCAGGGATATTGGAGACTACGACGCGCTAGTGATTGTACAGTTGGCCGGTTTTGATGAAGGTGAACTTTTGCTGTACGAGCGTTTGCAAATGGGCCCAATGCTCTTGTCGCGATACGCGAAGGACGGATCAGAAAAAGCCCGCCGGCAAATGTTGGCGATGTGCCAAAGTGATCCTGAAGTCTTGGCAGATGTTCTTGGCCAATTTGTTGCGATGGTTGCGGAGCTTCCAATAGAGGTAGGTGAAATATTTGATTTGGAAGTCAGATTGCATTATATCATCGCTGACAACAAGATGTGCTGCAGGACAATGGAGTAAATGACACACCAGGAGATGAGTCAGATTATGACGAAGCAAGCGAAATCTTAGAAGACATTCAAGAAGCCTTGTCACTCGCACGTAGACAAGGAGCTTTACCGCCTGTTCGAATTGCTCGAATTCTCGCAGGCGAGGGAACGGGTCAATTCAGCAACGTTGGAGCTGCCGAGAAGGCGCCACAGCAGCGGACTGTCCCGTTGTCGGTTGCGCTGGACTACGTTGGGACAATCCTGGATGAATCTCGGCAAGAAATTGGTCGTCTACGATCAGAAGTCGACGAGTACAATCAGTTATGCAACTCAATGGAAAAGGAAGTGGAATCTTTGTTGCGGGCTTCGCAGGGACTCCCGGCGAAGAAGGGTGAGTTTGTTGCGATACTTTTCTATCATCTAGCTAAATGACATCTAAACGATTTCTTTTTTTTGCAGAGGCCAAGCGATCGTCCAAGCTCGATGTGGAAGAGATGTATGCGAAGGTGCGTATGGCACTAGACGATGGTGGAAAATCTGAAGATGCTGCTGCGCTATCACGAGAGGCTTTCTGGAGAGAAATGGAGCAAACGGATGATAGCTTCCAGACGATATCTAGATTCTTTGCAAAAGACGTCATCGAGTGAGGCGATGAGAGCTCAATAGTCTCTTTGAAAGAGGAGCACTACGAACATCAATTTTTTTACTTGTAGACAAACTAACCATATAATGCCCCTTACGCTGTTTGGATAGCCTCAACTAGAAGAGCCTTCTTGAGCGGTTTCCCATCCTCGTCGGTTGTGTCCACACCCTTTGTACTCAAGTAATCCGTTAATTGCTTGACCGTCTTCCTAGTCAATGTTGATTGAGATAGCGTGCTCCAACTGTCTTCTGCGCCCGTTTTGGCTGCTGTAGCTTTCTTTGCAGTTGCCTTCTTTGTTGCTGCTTTTTTCTTTGGGGCGGCCTTTTTCTTTGCGGGAGGTTTCTTAGCCTCAGCGGTAGTTTCTCCTTTCACTGATTTCTTCTTTGCGGCAGTCTTCTTTTCTCCCTTTGCAGATTTCACCACTCGAACAGTTTTTGGCTCTCCCTTTGTTGCAGCCTTTTTCTTTTTGCCATTTTCCAATTCCATCTCTTTGACGATATCGAGAATATTAGCTGAGTCTGTAACAGTTCTGACAAGAGGAGTAGGTTTTTCAGGGGGGCTTTCCACCGGACTAGGAGCTGCAACACTCTTGACTTTGTCGAGGTGTCCTAGACGACTATCGGCTTCTCCAAGCTTGGTCTTTAGTGCGTTGATTGCTCGGTTCAATTGCAATTCCTTATCTGCAGATTCCAATCGCATCTGACCGAGAGCGAGATCCTTGTCTGTGAGTTTTGCCTTCGCTGCCTGCAGCTCCTTGCTCAAAGCAGCAGTTTCTTTATTCAACTTTTCAATTTCCTGTCCCATCTTTTTCTACAAACACGAAACAACTGTTTAGCATGCAAAGTATGCAAACCCAAAAGATAGGGAAATGATATTCTCTACACCTACCAATTCATCGGCAATCTCCGTCATCGCAGAGGCTTCTTTCTGTACTATAGTTCCCATGGCTTCTTTCGCATCGGCAAGACCAGCATTGCGTTGACCAAGGGCAATCAGAGATACCGTAGCAGTAGCTATCCATCCAGCTGATCCTTCTGGCAAATTCGACAACTCTGGAAGATTTGAGGGGGCATTTTGTCCAAACATAGCGTAGGTGTTACTGATCAAAAGATTCAACTTGGACTTTGAATCCTCTAGGGATAGTCCGCCTAATGAAATGCCACCATTTTGCAGCAACGCCTCCTGGAGGTATTCGAACAAAGGCCTTGCTTTTCCAGGTTCCAAAGGTTCAAGATGCGCCTCCACTCTTGGGAAATGATTTTGAGCCAATGGTGAAACCACGGGTTTGAATGCGTCAATAGTCGTGGCTACAGTTGTCTTTGTCATAGGAGTAATATCGTTTGTAGCCTTGACAAATTCGTCAACAGCCGAGGAAACTTGTGTGGTTGCCTCAGCAGCGGCCTTCGTGGATGCTTCAGCTACTTTGACGGATGCCTCAGCTACTTTGGCGGAAGCTTCAGCAGAAGATTGTGCACTAGAAGCGGCAACCACTGAGGCTTTTGTAGCGGCGACGTCAGCAACCTTGAACCCGGCTCGAGAATACGTATCTGAAATGGAAGGTACATCATATGCCTGATCAATTAGTGAGTTCAACTCGAAGGACCTTCTCGGGACGGTTGTTGGCTGGAAAGCTGAGGTACTCTGACTGAGCAGAACTGCTATTGAAACACTTGGTGATAATTTCATGACGCCACAATCAATCGCTGCGTTGAACTATAAAGGAAGGTACCTAGTTGTGAAAGAACCAACATGTGGCACCATGAGTTCCCGTTTTCCGTTACAAAAAAATTAATGCGAGGTACTGATGTAGACGTTTAGAATTCGAATCGTTTGGAAAGTACTGTTGCCGTATGTAGCATCTCCGTTGAAGGGCTATGAGAAGATCGCCGAAATTTCGAATCTCTCTCCTTACATCGTAAAGCCTGACAGACGAGAAAATGAGGAGATGAGTTAGTCTCAAGTCATCCGAAATTGTTTGGCCTCAAAAGCCACCACAACACTACATGGATTCGACCACCTCTACCGGTACCCGACAATAGTTGTAAATATAGGGAGCGATTTAGGTGTCTGCTCATCAGATAATTCACGATGTTTGAGAAAACGCTCTCCGACATTGTCAAGGGCATTCGTGCCTCCAAGAGAGACACGGCGCTATATATCAGTCAATGCATTGCGGAAATAAAGACTGAAATCAACTCAAGTGATATGTTTGTCAAGGCAAATGCGCTGCAGAAACTTACGTTTCTTCAGATGATGGGATATTCAATGAATTGGGCCAGCTTTGCTACGATAGAGGTCATGAGTTCCCCTCGGTTTGCACATAAACGGATAGGTTACCTGGCTGCAATTCAGGGGTTCACACAAGACACGGACGTCCTTTTGCTCACTACGAATTCACTCAAGAAGGAACTGAGAGCTGCTTCTGGTAGCAGTGCGATGAGAGGTGTTTATGAAGCAGGACTTGCGGTCAATTGCGTTGCCAATATTGTGACTGAAGAATTGGCACAGGATCTGTTGCCAGAGTTAACGAATCTTACTCAGCATCCACAACCGTATCTGCGGAAGAAAGCAATATTGTGTCTATTCAAACTATTTGTCAAGTATCCACAAGGTCTACGATTAACATTTGGACAAATTCAACAGTGCCTGGGCGATTCCAACTCGGCCGTTGCTTCTTGTGCCGTCAATGTCATTACCGAACTCTCTGACAAAAATCCCAAAAACTACTTACATCTTGCACCAGCTTTCTTTGACTTATTGACATCATCCAGCAATAATTGGATGCTCATTAAGGCCGTCAAGCTACTAGGCAGTCTTGTTCCAGAGGAACCCAGGCTGGCCCGAAAACTCTTGGAACCACTTTCTCAGATTGTTCGAAGTACACCAGCAAAGTCCCTCATGTATGAGGCTGTCCACGCAATTACTCTGTGTGTACCCTATTGCCGACGAAACGATGGATCCATGCCATCTGTAGTACCTGAAATTGTGGATTTATGTGCCAATACGTTACGTGATTTTGTTGAAGAAAAAGACCAGAACCTAAAGTATCTCGGTCTGGTCGGATTTTCCAGTTTGATGCAGTCCCATCCCAAAGTTTTATCCGCACCGTCATATCGTCCGATAATCCTGGCATGTTTGTCCGACGAGGATGTTACCATTCGGACGAGGGCGCTGGGTCTGCTTCCAGGAATGGCGTCGCGAAAGAATCTGATGGAGCTTGTAAAGCAACTGCTGCAGCACGTGGAGTATGCGTCTGGCAGTTACAAGCATGATCTCGTGGCAAAGATTATTGAGATGTGTTCGGGCGAGAAATATGCACTGTTACAGGATTTTACTTGGTACCTGGATACCCTATTTCGCTTGGGGCACATGCGAGGACTCGAAGCCCACGGTGAGCTGTTGCGTTCGCAAGTTTCGGATGTTGCGCTTCGTGTATTACCAGTTCGGCCATACGCAGTTAAGCGATCCTTGGAAATATTGCTAGAAGGAGAGCTCATCGAAAACAATGTAGAAGGTGACAATGGTCGTGGAAAACACATCATGCCAGAGATACTACCAGCTTTGGCTTGGATTGTTGGCGAGTACTCCGACCTCTTTCCAGAAGCCATGTCGATCGATAAGGGCGCAGTATATATCTATGATAATGACAGTCAGGGTCCTTATCATTCCTTGATCCAAGCAATCACATTCCCAGTCACCGCCATGAAGCTCCCTCCATCCACGCAGCAGGTGTACGTCCAAGGTGCGATGAAGGTGTTTGCGGCAGCTGCTGGCAACGCGGATGTATCCGATGCCGAGTTGGAAGCTTGCTGTACAACTCTCTCTGCAAACCTGCC